AACAGTCCCAGGCATGCAGAGAATACTGAATAAACGTTTAGTTTTCATTCTTTTGGTTTTCTTTCTTTTTCCTTTAAATTTTCTGGGCCAGAAATTACAGGGGAGAAAGCCCTTTCTTGCCCTGGAGTTGCTGATGTGGAAGGAAAATTCCCCAGCGGGTTGAACATTGGAGCCTGGATGGTAGCTTTGGAGACAGGCAGCCTGGGACTTTGCCCACAGTAGAAGGGACAGCTCAGCCTCCTGATAGCCATATACTGGCCAGGAGAGGGCGGCTGTGTTCCTGGTGGCTTTGTGGCTGGGCCCCTCACCTTTGTTCCATAGGCCTAAACATCTATGCCTTGGGGTCTGCTCTGGGAAGCCCAGGGAAGCAGAGCCCCACCATGTCCATCCCACTGTCCCTCCATAGGACAGTGACACGTGATGATGATGGCATGTGGTTTTAATCTGGCCCTCTGAAAGTCAGCTCATGTGTCACTTTTACCCCAGCCAGAGTTTTGTTATGACAGTTATTTAAGCTTGAAAAGAAATGGTACAGAAACTCCAAATTCCAAAATCTCTGCCAGCCTGAGTTTGAGTAGTGACGAGTCAATGATTGATGGCCAGGAGGTAGAGGGGCCAGAAGAGGACAAGGGTCAGGAACCAAGGGCTGGCAGACTGTTAGTAAAGACCCTGGAATCAGAGCCAAAATCAGCTTTTACTAAAGACACACACACACACACAGACACAGACACACACACACACACACACACACAGAATCACAGGACTTACATACACACATACACAGTCATAGGACACACACACAGTCATAGGATATGCACACACAGTAATAAGACATGAACACACAGTCACAGGACTCACACACACAGTCATAGGACATGCACACACAGTCACAGGACTCACACACAGTCACAGGATTTACACACATAGTCACAGACTCATACACCCACAGTCATAGGACTCACATACACATAGTCACAGGACTCACACACACAGTCACAGGACTCACACAGAGTCATGGGACTCACACACACAGTCTACAGGACTCACACAGAGTCATGGGACTCACACACACAGTCCACAGGACTCACACACAGTCACAGAATTCATATACACAGTCACAGGATCCACCATACTGTCACAGGACACTCTCACACACGATCATAGGACTTCTGTTTTGTCTCTCACAAACCTCCTAAGAAACACTGTTCAGTGCTGTGTGATGTTGTCTTTTGGATGAGGACAGGTGTGCATGTGATCTCTCCCTCTCCCCAGCTTGTGATTCTGTCCTCCATGGGAGTTTGGTCAAAGACCAGGTTTTTGCCTCTTTTTCTAGAGTCTGAGAGTTGAGAACGGATGACTTTTCCTCTGTCCCTGTTGCCAGCTGACTTGTGGTCCTGCTCCTTATGAGTCAGGGGTATTGAACATGTTTGAAGGCAGTCTGGAGAGTGTGGCAGACTAGTGCCCAGGTGGGCACAGCTCACCTGGATTCCCTACAGTAGAAGAGCCCAGTTCTCCCTGTGATCCTACAGAAATGAGAGACTCTCCTGTTGTGGAGCCCTTCCCTCCAGTGTGTAGCTGGAGCCAGGTGTGGTAATACACACCTAGAATCCCAGCACTCAGGAGGTAGAGGCAGGCGGACCAATTGTTCAAGGTCATTCTCAGCTATATAGTGAGTTTGAGGCCATCCTAGGCTATATAAGACACTCTCAAACAGAACAAAACAGAAAAACAAGGCCAGCAAGATGGTTTGATGGGTAAAGGTGCTTGACACCAAGCCTGATGACCAAGTTTGATCCTCAGAGCCCACAAGAAGGAAGAAGAGAACTGACTCCTACAAGTTGTCTCTGACTTCCATGTGTACACTGTGGTACATGTGCACATGTATACATACACACACACACACACACACCCCTTAATAAATAAATATAATAAATGTCTAGAAAACAATAAAACAAATACCCAGTTACTAGGGAGCCTCCATCCTCCTCTGGTCAGACTGTCTCCTCATTTTAACCCTTCCACATGCACCCCTCTGGCTCCCACCTTTCTCTGCTCACTTCTCCCATGCTGTCAAGCCAAAGCACGCCCTTCTGTCCCACTCTGGTGATCTTTGGACAGAACCTCTGTACCACTACATTGCTGCCAGGTGGCCTCCTCGAAGCTCTCACTTGTGGTTTCCTGATGAAAGAGCTTCCCTTTCTGCTTTGACCTTGGGTATCCCCACTTTTTACTCTACATTACAATGTGCTCAAATGTAAGGAGTAGGTAGTTTTTAGACTCTGGAAGGATAGAGGGTGTCTGGAAAGTAGTTTTCTCATTGTTGTGACCAAATACCAAACAAGAAGCAACTAAACAGAGGGAGGGCTTATTCTGCTCACAGTTTAAGAAGGGCATAGTGCATCATGGCAGGGAAGGCATGGCAGTAGATGAGGCAGCTGGTCACATAGTTAGGAAGCTGAGAGAGGACAGGAAATGGGGTCAGCTATCAAACCTCAAGGCCCAATCCCAATGACACACTTTCTCCATCAAGGCTCCACTTCCTAAAGCTTCTACAACCTTCCAAAACAGCACCATTGACTGGACACCAAATGTTCAAACACATCAGCCTGTGGGGAATATTTCACATTTCAAATCACAACACGGGAGAGCTTCTGTGACCCCATCACTCATGGAAAGGGTCAGTAGGCTCTTTTACATAATTTGACTCATTTAGTCTTCATACTGGTCCTCTGAGAGAGCACTGATCTCCTCCCTGGTGTTCTGAAATCCCAGGGACAGAGACATGTGGCTTGCACACTGTGCACAACTTTGGAAGTTCAGGCCAGGCTTGTCTGGGCTGTGGAATTTTCTGGTTCTTTCTGTTCTAACACACCCCTTTTCCTCTGCAGCTCTGAGAGGATGTAACTACTGGGCCAGTGGACATATAGCGGGTGGGGATTTGTGAGGGAAGCAGAAACAGCAGCAGCAGATCTAGACAGAGCACTGGCCATTTCTCTTTCCCTCTTGCCAAATCCTCACAGGGCAGAAAGTGCATGGGTAGTGAGAATTGACAGGCCGGTGCTTGGCTGGTGAGCACGCAGGAACAGGTCAGCTGTCCGACCAGCAGACTTTCTAGAATATTCTACACCATCATCCTTTCTTTTTCATGCACACTTTGTTATTCGGTTGCATATTTTCCCTCAGGGAATATTTTTTTCAGTTGACCAAAGCTGCTTTTCTTTTCCCAAAGTTTAACTTGTGTGGCCCTGAAGGCACATCTGCCCATGGCCGTTCTGATCCTCTCACTCTGCACAACTGCCAACTTTCCCCAGGTTCCTGAAACCAAGTAAGGCTGACAGCAGGATCAAAACAGCCTGTCTTCTCAAAACCTCCAAAGGTGTCTGGGACTTTGAGAATGCAGATTACAAATCCAACCTCAAAAACACATTTTTCTTCATTTTAGAAACAGAATAAGAGGAAATCCAAACAAATGTGCCCATGGCTGTTTCCTGTCACAGTGTTCATTTGAATGCTGGTATTCCTGGCAACTCTTTGGCCCTGGGTAAACATTTGCCCTCAGGATCTTCCTGTTCTGAGTTGTAAAATAGGAATTATATAATTCCAATTTCTCTAGGTCGTTGTGGGGATTAAAGGAGCTAGTAATTACCATATGTCCAAGTTTGTTTTCTATTGCTGTGATACAACACCGACCAAAACCAGCTTGGTGAAGGAAAGGTTTATTTTACCTTACACTTCCATCTACACAGTCCATCTTTAAGGGAAGTCAAGTAGAAACTCAAGGCAGGACCCTGGAGGCAGGAACTGAAGCAGAGACTGTGGAAGAACAATGCTTACAGCCTCTCAGCTACCTTTCTTATATAGTGCAGGCCCACCTGCCCAGGGATGGCACAGCCCACGGTAGACTAGGCCATCCTACATCAAACCAGCAATCAATAAAATGCCCCCCAGTCATGCCCACAGGCCAATCCAATGTAAAGGAATTCCTCAATTGAGGTTCCCTCTTCCCAGGTGTCTCTCGTTAGTGTCTAGCTGAGAAACACAAACCAGCACACAACACCATGAAGAATTAGGGACAGTAAAGAGTGGGTCTCAAGAACTTCTCTTGGTGTTTCCTTACAGAACCCTCACATTTTTGCTCGGAGATGTGTGTGCTAGGTGTTCAGTAGAGTACTGTTAGAATGTAAATTGCCAGCACCTCGATTTACCCAGTCAGGCTGGTGTAGAACTTATGTCCTCCAGAACTGGGCTGTGGTCAGTTAACCATCTATGGTCATTTCTCTTGTAGCTTCAGGAAATGAGTACACTGTGACATAAGCACCTGCTGTAATGCAAAGACAGGCCTGGGGCAGCACACTCCCTGGGTATCAGCTGTGGCTCCCTGTGGGAGGAGGGAGTTGCTCACATTTTATTCACATTTTCTTTCTTTTGTATTTCTTAAAGATTTCTTTTATCACTTGTGTGTGTGTTCCACAGAGGCCAGAAGAGGGTGTAGGATCTGCTGTCTGTTGTGAGCTCTCAGGTGTGGGTGCTGGGAACTGAACCTGGGTCCTCTGGAAGAGCAGCAAGTAGTCCTCACAGCTGAGCCATCTCTCCAGCCCCTTGCTCTGATTTTCTTAGCATGATGTGGGCCTGTGAGGTGATTTTCTATGCTTTTCTTGCCTGTGTATTTGAAATGATAATAACGACCATGGAGTTTGAAAGGAGTGGAGCCAGTATGGGGCGGTGAGGTGGTGATGCACATATGGAAGGAGTCCCATGTAGGCATGGTGGCCAGTTTTGTGTGGTGGCTTATCCAGGCAATACCAGGTATGTCTGTGGCATCAGAGAAGGCTGGCCCAGTGGGTATGCCAAGCTTTGCAGCATGGGAGCAGCTGGCTAGGCTGCCACATCCCCTGTTGGGGGAGGCTAGGTGTTCTGCTCACTGCTTCCACTGCTCTGTGGTTTGGGGTCCATCCATGTCTTTTCCCAATCTCAAGCCCTCTTTTCTACCCCACCCCTAGGTGTCTTGGCTCTGGAGAAGGCTTCGTGGCAAGAGGTGGTCTCTGATGGCATCCTGTCTCTTGATGACCCTGTCTGCAGTGGCTGTCACCCATTTCCCCCCAGGGCATCCAGCAGCTAGCCCTGACCCTGGTTCTATGGAGCCCCAGGGGGAAGTTGGCTCACCTGACCCCAACACCTGGCAGGCTTTGAACTCCAGCCTGAGGCAGCGGGCAAGAAACCTGGGATTCTGGAGAGGCAGGCTTCCACAGAGAGTGAGGTGGGATGTTACTATGACAGGAGATTCCACACTCAGTGCCCAGCATCAAGTGCTCCTGACAGATGGAATCAGAGATCCAGGAGCCTCAGCTCCAGACCTGCCTAGGGATGATGATCCCATCCAGGAGACACAGAGTGAGACCGGTGCCCTACTCAGCCCACTCACAGGGAACAGCCAGGAAGACTTACAGGTGTGGAGATCTGCTTCAGGGAACTTCCAGCCCCATCCAGGGGAAAGCAGGGATTTGCTTCAAGGAGCCCAGGACTCTGCTGGTGGGGAATTAGCAAAGGATGCTACCCCAGGTTTAGGGGCTCGTTGGTGGCCTGGCTCTGTTGGGGAGCTGCAGAAGTCCATATGGTGTAAGGCTGAAACCTCTGGGCTACCAGCCAGCACTGTGACTGGGGGGAAGGTTCCCCCATGGCTCACAGAACATGATGTGCAGACCCTCCAGCTATTGGCCCATGGGGAGGTGGTGGGCAAAGCCAGGGTTCCAGCCCATGGGCAGGTGCTGCAGGTTGGCCTGTCTGTTGGGGGTACCCTCCAGGACATGTCTTCTCTCAAACTCAGCCAACTGTGCTCCCAGGGCCTCTGTGGCTTGGTCAAGAGGCCTGGAGACCTGCTTGAAGTCCTGTCCTTCCATGTAGACCGTGTATTGGGGCTCCAGCGAAGCCTGCCTGCTGTGGCCCGTCGCTTCCACAGCCCTCTTCTGCCCTACCGCTACACGGATGGAGGTGTGAGACCCATCATCTGGTGGGCACCTGATGTACAGCACCTGGGAGACCCAGATGAGGACCAGAACTCTCTGGCCTTGGGCTGGCTACAGTACCAGGTCCTGCTGGCACGAGGCTGCAGCTGGCCAGGCCAGATCCCATGCCTGGGCATCCACCATGCTGAGTGGGCACGACTGTCCCTCTTTGACTTCCTGCTGCAGGTAGGTGGGGTCTGGCAGTGGGGTAAAGTGTTGTGGAGTTAGAAGATTCGAGGTGAAGGCCTATGTTATGGTTAGCTTTCCATTGCTGTGATAAAACACTGATTAAAACCAACCTAAGGAGAAAGGCTTTGTTTCACCTTACTCTTTCAAGTGCCAGTATATCACTAAGATAAACCAGGGTAGGAGCTTAAGGCAGGAACCTGGAGGCAGACACTGAAGCACAGACCACAGAGGAATGCTGCTTACTGACTTGTTCCAGTGGGCTGGACCCTTTTGCATTAGCCAACAATCAAGAAAATGCCTCACAGACGTGCCTACAGCCAATCTGATGGAAGAAATTCAGCAATTGAGTTTCCCTCTTCCTGGGTGTGTCAAGTTAAAACCTGATGCTATTCAACAGACTAACTCTCTACAGTGTCAGCCTTTTGATCCATGAACCTGATCCTGTAAAGTTTTTTTTTTGCCTCTATTTATCCTGTGGTACCCTAGACCAGGGCTTCCTAAACATTTTCCATTCATGACCCCTTTTCACTCAAGAAATTTAAAAAAATATTTCATTTATTATTTTTTATTTTATGTGCATCGTGTCGACAATACAGTACCCATGGAGGTGAGAAGAGGGCATCGGATTCTCCTGGAACTGGAGTTAAGGACAGTTGTTAGCCACCATGTAGGTGCTGGAAACTGAACCTGGGTCCTCTGCAAGAGCAGCCAGTGTTCTTAACTACTGAGCCATCTCTCCAGTCCCAGAGTTTACTTCTTATATATTCAAATCCATAAACATATGCCAATGCTCTTAACTGCTGAGCCATCTCTCCACCCCCACTTAAGAAATTTTTGAGTGACCCTGGGTGTGTAGGCATGTAAAGTAGGTATATAAATCAAGCATTTACTGATAATAAATCATAAAGTGTATTTTTAAAACAATTCTCATATACATAAAAATTTCACATTTATTAAAGACAAAGGCAAATTTGCCTACTAAGAAGACAGATGTGCTTGTTTATTTTTACCTAAAGAATTAAATCTTGACTAAATATTTGATCCTACAGAATATAGAAAATCTTCAACATTTTTCAGAATTTCAGATGATTTGATTTTACAATCATCAATGCTGAGATCACTGTTTTACATAAATGTGTAGCAAGCTGGGATTTAGCTCAGTGCTAAAGTTCTTGCCTAACATAAATGTGTAGCACAAAATGGGGCTGGGGAGATGACTCTGTCAATAAAGTGCTTGCCGTGTAAGCATGAGGACCTGAGTTTGAATCCCTAGCACAAACATTAAAAAACTCAGCCCAGTGGTACCTGCCTGTAATTCCAGAGTTGGAGGGGCAGAGATGATGACAAGGCTGGCCAGGAAGCCCACCAGCCAAATCAGTAAGGCCAGGTCTGTCTCAAAAAGTAAGATTGACAGAAATTGAGGAAGCCATCCAAACTTGACCTCTGGTTTCCACATATACATGCACATATGCACACCCTCACAATACACCTGCCCATGAATATATTCACACACACACACACATACCCCATTCCCATACAAATGGCAGAAGTGTGTTTAGGACCATGTCAGAAATTGTTGGAAATTCTGTTCTAATACTAAGCCAAAATTCATTGAATAATTTGTGTTATATCTGAAAATTAAGCCAGCAACTCAAATAGCAATTTTTGAAATCAACATTCTAACACAATCCAATCCAAAGATATATTAATTTAATACTTACATGTTGAGGAATGAGGGCAGGGCATATTAATGAGAAGTCTTTGTTTTCTGTAACTAAACTGTCTTGTTTCCATAGGAGCAGAAAACTCCCTATGCACCACAAAAACACTGCAGTTCATCACATGCAGACGAACTCCTAAATGTGAGCCCAGCTGTTTCAACAGCATTTGTTGGTGTGATGTGGCAGGATGGCATGCACAGTACAAAGTGCACTTGTGTTTTCAGAACCAAGGCTGCACCAAAGTCCGATGATATGACATGGAAGGACACTGCTCAAAATACCTGGGATTCTTGATGAATTTGATTTTGAGTTCAATAAGCATTGCATATTCAGAAACCCTTTTACTGTTGTCACATTTTTTTTAACCCACATGTTCCAGTTACATGACCCATGTGGGATTACTACCCATAGTTTAAGAAGCTGAGCTTTGGTGATGGGTCTTATCAATCTACAAGAGCTGATGGCTAAATTTTTCAGAAATTTCAATATAGACATTTGTTAAAAAGTAAATAATATGATTAATAAAAATTGTATTAGAGGTGCAGGACTGATGGTTCAGCAGTTGAGAGCACTGGCTGCTTTGCAGAAGACCCAGGTTCCCAGCATTCACGTCACATGGCAGCTAACAGCTATCTGCAACTCCAGTTCCAGGGGATCTGCTACCCTCTCCTGGCTTTCCTGTACACTGCATGACATGTGGTACATTTACAAACATTCAGGCGAAATATACACATAAAATTAAAAAACAAATCATTATTAGATGGGACTGGAGAGATGGCTTAGGAGTAAAGAGCACTAGTTTTTCTTGCAGAAGACCTGGGTTCGAATCCCAGCACCCACATGGCAGCTAACAACCGTCTGAAATTTCAGTTCCAGGAGATCTAATGCCCTCTACTGTCCTCCATGGGCACTGCACAACATAGGTGCATTTATATACATGCAGGCATAACACTCATACCCATAAAAAATGTATTAGAAATAGGTAATAAATACCTAGAACTGATTGTTTCCCAATCTCTGTGCTGTAACATGTTGCTGTATCTGGGCTAGAGCAGTTACTTATATCTAGCGTCTATATAGTGAGTACTCTAGCAAGCTCTTCATTCAGTTATGTATGTTCGTAGTTGACACTGGCTAGGGTAAAAATATTTACACCATTGAAACTGGCAGATGTTATAGGTTAGGACTGCTGTCCCAAGTCCAGTGTTAAAATGCTTACCAGCACACCACTATTTATAGCTATATTTTTAATTTATCTTTATTTTTATTTTATGTGTATGAGTGTATTGTCTACATGGGTTTAAGTGCACCTGTGTCGTGCAGTGCCTGTGGAGTGAGAAGAGAATATTGGATCTCCAGGAACTGGAGTTACACATGGTTGTTAGTTGCCATGTGGGTGCCAGGAACTGAGCTTGGGTCCTCTGCAAGAACAGCCAGTGCTCTTAACTGATGAACCATCTCTCTAGCCCACTATTTATAACTTAATATCTTTGAATCAACATGGACTCAAGAGGGTTATATAATCTACAGTAAGAAAGGGAGGGAGAAGTAGAGACACAATGGGAGGATAAAAATAAAGACAGTGGTTCATCTGGCACTGAGGACTCCCTGAGGCCAGCTGAGGTCCCTACTTCTCTACCTGATAAGAGGTAGCCCTGAAGTTATTGTTCAGAAAGGGTGAGGCAGGACCCGAGGGAAGGGCAGGGTGGCAAGGAAATGGGTCTAACTGGGAGTTACAGGCATCAGCTGTTTAACTGGCCTGTTGAACACAAATGTGGCTCCTCTGGACATGCAGGACCCCTGCTGTAGCTATGCACAATGGACAGAGCGGGCAAGGATGAGAAGAAAGGTCAACCTTAGTTATTGGGCTGCCCTACCATGTGAGTAGACTGCTCACAGGACAAGATTCAGCACCCTGTCCAGGTAGCCAGGGGCCAATACACTGTGCTTGATTCACAGAGGTTGGTTTCTAGTGCATTTTATAAAATTTTTAATTTTTTTTGTCCTTTAGAGACAGAGTATTGCTGTATCCCAGGCTGACCTGGAACTCACTGTGTAGCTTAGACTAGCCTCAACTCAAGCGATTATCTTGCCTCAGCTGACCAATTGTTGGGATGTCAGACACAGGCCACTGAACTCTAGTTTTAGAAAGTTCTAAGATATGTAAGGTATTGGAGATTTCCCCCTAAAACTCTAGCTTCCTTTGAAAAATTAGATTTCTTAGTACATGGGACCCTCTGCTTCCACAGAGCAGGGGCCAGCCTAAGTTGAGTGTCTCCTACCCCCTTTTCAGTCTGCCTTACTCTGTTTGGCCACAGGTCCCACCCATTGCCCACCACTCCTGGAATGCCCCCTGTTGACCTATAAACACTGTAGGCTCATGTTCAGTCCTTGAGTTGTAGTCCTTCTGGCTGATCATCTGTGTCCTACAGCTGCTTTGTGTGTGAGGAGCTATGCAGCCTAGAGGTCAGGACTGTGGATTTTGCTGTCCAGCTGCCCACCAGCTCTCATTTCCACAGTGGGGTTGGTTACCTAAGCCTCAGTCCCTCAGGCTTGAGTGCCCAGTACCTCCTAATTGCCAGTACCTGCTCTTCAGGTCTGCTCTGAGCCCTGTGGCCTGTCCTGTCCTGTTAGACACCCTGCAAGCTCTGGGGAGCAAATGCCCTCCAGGCGATATGATCAACCACCCATAGGAAAAGAGAGGCTCTGGGACAGCCAGAGAAGACTGGCCTCACTCCCTCCAGGGGCAGCCCTCAACCATGGTTGGCAGAAGTCTGTGTGACATGCAGGATTGCAGCTGTGGCTATGGTTAGTGTTAACTGTCAACTTGACAGAGTCTAGGATCACCTGGGAAATGAGCCTTCAGGCATGTGAGGGCAAGTGAGGGATTACCTTGATAACTAATGTGGGGCAACTTGTTTTACTATGGGCAGGAGGATTCCCTGGGCTGCATAAAATAGAGGCAGCAGCCAAGTCCTGGAAAGCATTGCTGCTATCTGCTCCTTAAGTGTGGATGCACTGTGACTAGTTCTGTCAAAATTCTGCTTCCTTGATGTCCCCACTGTCATGGACTGGACCCTCGAACTGCAAGCCAGAATAAACTTTTCTCCCTTCAGTTGCTTTGGTCAGGGTATTTTATCACAGCAACTGGAAAGGAAACTGAGACCTGACCCATGTGTGTATTCTGCTTGGCTCACAGGGCTGAAGTGTCTTGGGGTTAGATCACAAGTAAACTACTTTCAGTTGGATTCTTGTCTTAAGATCTGTCTCTGGGCT